GAAACCGAGTGGTCAATGTAATGTCCTACGCTAGTGACGACCAGGAACATAAAACTTCCTTGAATCTAGATGCAGCTAGAAAAACAAAAAAAACGAATAAAAGAGGATGCACAGTTCCACTTGACGACAAAACTGGAGGCTGTTTTTCTAATGGTTCTTAACCGTTAGAATATCAGGCTAAATGGTGAATATGCAAATGCTCTAGTAGATAGTGGGGCATCTGTGTCTGTCATGAATGAGGCACTTCTAAAGAGGAAAGAAGTTATTCAAGGGGGGTCGGTGCAAATACAAAGTTTTGATGGTACGAGCTAAATTTATGATGAATGGGTGAGAACAAGTGTGTCTTTTCAAGGCCGAGAATACTGACATTGATGCTCTCATAGTAAAAAGGTGTGATTACAAATTTTTACTTTCTCGACCTGATATGAAGACACCGAAGTTAAATCTTTATTGGGACGATGAAGTAACCGTGGCACAGGAGACGTGCACGTCCTTGAACGTTGCGGACCATCAGAAAAAGGCCTTACAGCATGTCCTACAAAAAGAAAATGTGATTGAAGACTGAAATCCAGAATTTGTTAGATGCTAGAATAATACGACCGTCGGTTTGTCTACGTTCGCCTCGCCCATTACTTTGGCTCCGAAAGAAGACGGATCTTTGCGACTGTGCACTGATTACCGAATAATAAATAGCCAAATAGACATATTTTCTTTTTCGATGCCCAGGATTGATTAAATATTTGAAGAAACTTTGAGGTTGCAAAATATTTTCCCATATAGACCTCTGCAAAGAATTTTGACAGATTTCGCTGAAAAAACAAATACAAAATATACACGGCTTTTGTCACAACACTTGACATGTATGAATATAATCGTTTACCTTTCGAATGGAAAAACAGTGCTGGCAGGGTTTCAAAAGATGACGAATAGTGTTCTCAAGCCATTCCTTGAATTATTCTGCAATGTATACATAGATGATATCATAGTCTATTCAAAGGATGACCCATCACACGTAGAGCACTTGACATCTGTGTTGATGGCATTAAGAGAAGCCCAACTGAAAGTGAATTTTTCTAACGGAAGATTACATTTGTCGGACGCATTTTGGACAGCTTTACAAAGAGTACGAAAGAAGAGTCCATACAACGTGTACGATCGATAAAGAAGCCAGACAATGTACACATAGTCACAGTATTTCTTGGCCTCGCAGGACATCTCAGAAGCTACATAAAATATTTTGCAGCACAAGTGAAGCCGCTGAACAACTTGCTTCGTAAAGACAGATTTCATCTGGATGGAAGAGTATGAGAGGGCATACAAAGATTTGGTATTAGGTATATCATCAGACCCAGTACTCACACTACCGAAATTCACTGTTCTAATTGAATTCAAAATGGACGCATAGAACTACGGCGCAGGTGCTGTACTTTACCAACGAAGAGGCACAATTGGAATCAAAAGTGGAAGACGACAAGCGATAGGATATTACTTGTATACTTTCACGAAGTCAGAACAAAATTACAGCGCGACTGAAAAAGAGGCATTGTCTGTTGTACTAGCGATTAGGTATTTTCGATCGTACCTAGAGGGCACGAAATTCAAGTTGTTCACTGACATTGAGGTGCTTACGTATTTTCTAAATGGTGCTCAAGCGAAAGGCCGATTTGCTAGATAGATAAGTGAAATTCAGCAGTTTGATTTTGATGCGACACACAAAGCAAACAAGATTTGTCCGACGCTGACGCCCTTTCTCAACTTCTCATTGTCAATAACTGTACGGGCGACGAGAAGGTGAACTCACTTCAAATACGGAAAGGCAATGAGAAGCTATGTTTGTAGATGGAAAATTTCAGGTACCGGATACTCTGAGAAAAAAACTTCTTGACCTTTATCACCACAGTCCAGAGTCAGGAGGGCATGACGGTTCTGGCAGACTGTACTACAATATGAGATTTGCATGGCCTAGCAGTGAAGAAATGATATTAGTGATTACACTAGCTCTTGTCAGAAATGTCAACTAAACAACGCAAAATACAAACAAAAGACAGACAGCATGATATCTCCACTTTACTCAAATGTCCCGTTTTAAACCGTGCCCGTTGATTTTGCTGAAGATGAAAAGCGAAGGAGTGAATAAAACGCAATCCTTTTAAGTGTGCATTGATCAATGCTCACGGATGCTAGCTGCCAAGCCAGAAAAAAAAAATGCTGCTACTGTCACACCACTCTCGAGCAGACACATAATTAAACGGGGTGAAGTGTGAGGTGTCCGACAATAGATCCGCGTTCAAGAGCCAGACGTTCGCAAAGTGGGCAAAAGAAAGAAACATTACCCTGAAGTTGACAGTTCCTTAGCACCTTCCAGCTAATGGACTAGCTTTAGCTGAGCGTGTCATCAGAGATGTCAAACAATGTATGTACCAAGGATTTCCAGGAGGGTGCAAATGGTACCTCCAAGCAGCTGTCGCACCACAACAGGTCACATACAACCACTCTTGGGCGCAGCCCCCAATAAGCCGCCTTAGTGGAACCTGCTTTTTTACCTGTGGATGACACACTTGGCATAGCAGAGAAGCTTCGCTCTAAAGAAACGAAGAAAACTTTTGACCAGCAAAAGAAGCCCAGAGAAGCTATGATGAGAGCATTTGACAAACGTCATAGCACAAACATTCTTGCGATAGCACTAGGTGATATGGTTCTGATGCGGAAAGGTTATGGTGGTACTAACACGAAACTTGTGGGTTCTTTTAGAGGGGTGAAACTTGCAATGAAGGAAGCAGTGCTGAAAACCATCGACTACACGATGGAAAACCATGCGATGGGAATAGCAGCCATTTCCAATTGTCATCCCTTATTTGGAGTGGAGGGATGAAATAAAGGACGGGAGAGTGTAGTGGACTAGTACTACAAAGGACAGATTAGGTGGGAACAGGGCAAGGACGAAGAAGAATAAAGAGATCGTGCTTTGGGTCTGCCCGCTTGTTATGGAATGTTACACAAAATATCAAAGATAAAAAATTAAGGAGGCTGTTCAGTAGAGTGAGGTACTTCAGAACTACGCAAGCAAGCATCACACAAGCACTATTTTGTTGATCACCATTGGCTGGTAAGCTTGCATTGAGTGTACATGTGTGGCAACAATCTGATAGCGCTTTATATGTTCGTAAAGGAGTTACAAAATATGCTGTTTCCATTACAGTGAGGTGATGTCAGAAAAGTAAACAGATGCCTTGTTGAGAGAAAAATGCCAATCACAGGCGTAAAAAAATAACTTACCCTGATACATTCACCTTCCTCGACTAAAGGCAGATTGTTTCTTTTCCTTTACAGTAGGCTAGTTAGTTATTCATGCTCGTAAAATAACTGCACAGGGAATGTCTGACGAACCCACACAGTCAGCACCTGTTTTTGTCTCTCTTGAGATCTTTCATTGTTTCTTGCCCTATTATTTTAAGAGCATTATTTAACTTCAAATTTGATGTCCTGAACCATGTAAAGGCCACGTAAGCTTTCTGTAATTTAGCTTCATTTGCACTGCCTTTGGGATCAGTCACGGAATATCGTCACAAATTTTGACATCATGATGACTCCTCATGGTTTTCTGCATCACTCACGTTAACGCCACTGACATGAAATGCCGGTCAATTTTCGCGTTTCCTGAGGCATATGTTTTCACCTTGTATATCCTAGCATTTCTAAAAGCTGGATTCACAAGCATTGTTTGTAATGCTTAGAATAACAGAGGGCAGGGCTGAGTACAGGGCATGCGAACACAGACACAAGAAGGAAACGCCTTGACTTCCCTGTACTGCAGTGCTCCTGCACGCCAGTTTTTTTTTTGCTTGTTTATTGCTTTAGTACTCTCAGTCGTGATCGCAAAGTGTGGCGCTACAACTTACCACAATCCCGCAAGCATCACATATGTAATTGTTATACTGTTGTGTGTCCTGTGCTGTGTCCGATGGTTTTGGCTTTTCTTCTCATTGCTTTGAAAATTGACACCACTGGTCGCAAGAGTAGACTATTTGCCATGAAGCAATACTTTCTTGCAGACCAGTTGGTTCATACTTGAAAAATTGAATTGCTGCACAAACTTGAAAAAAGAAAAAAAAAAAAACAAGGGAGACAGGAAAGAGCGCAGTTTTTTTTTGTTTTTTTTTTGAGCGCGGACTACCAACTGTTTATTGTCGGTTTCCTGAAGCCAATATATACGCATGCTACGCTGCGCTTCCACGATGCGCACAAGACCAAAGATGCCGCAAACAAAGCCGACCCAAAACAAATCAAATCAAAATTGACTGCCACCACAATGACACAAGTGAAAATGGCAAAATACTAAAGCGATACCCACCACAATCTAAACTGCGCATTCCCAAGTTTTTATAATTTATCTTTTATTATTTCTTGCACCAAGCATCAACAAAGGCGTGAAAATGAAAACGTACTTTAGAGACTTTTGTTTAAAAAACATTAAAAATAGCACGCTGCGCTTTTTTCCTGTCTCCCTTGTTTTGCTTCGAGTTTGTGCAGCAATTCAATTTTTCGAATATTTGCCAAGGCTTACTGTTGTGTTTCGTTTTCTAAATTGAGTGGATGGACATCACCCTTGATCCGATCGCCGATACCTTCGTGCGAGCAGTTCAAGATAACATCATGCGTGAAGGGTGTATTCTGAAGCTTACATTAAGTCACACTCAACTGCCTTAATTGCAGGCATTCATAGGGATGGACTGTCATGCCCCAGCATCGCCTTTATCAGCTTTTTCAAACTTGCTGCTGGACCGAGCTAAACTGGGCCCAGGTAATCGCATACTGTCAATGCTTCTAATTCTCAGCCTCGTCTATACGCGTTAATAAAACAGAACTTTTCTATAACATTTACGCAACTTCGTAAGTGAAGGGGAAAAAATAATAAAAAAAACAGCCGCCGCACACTAGCAACGCGGTACCCGTTCAAAGTTTCAAGGCCCAATTTTGAAAGCTGAGTAGGCAAATAAGAATACTGCTCTCGACACGTTTATTTAGTACCTTCTACACAGCTGAACGACGACGGCGCCATTGATTCAGTCAGTGGGTTCTGTACCACTCCTTCTTTTCGGCCTCCTCTTTCTCGACCTCGGCGATGTACGGCTCGAGGTAGGGCACGTCGTCCTCGAACTTTGTCCACTGGCTCTCCGGAAGGATGGTGTGGGCGATGTTGCACTGGATGGCTCGCAGGATGCGGTAGTTTCGGTCGTCCTGCAACTTCTTGGGAAGCCGCCGCACTGCTTCCAGCGTCACCGGTTCATCGCGGTACATGTCGTTCTTGAGCAGGCCATACTGGTAGTACTTGCTCGTACTGAACATGAAACGAGCCCAGGTGCTGGTGTTCTTGAACACCTTGTTAGCGCTCATTTTGTCGATCCACAGAGCACGACCTTCGCAGCGACCTCGCAATTCGGGGATGATCTGCTGTGTTGTCCAGATAGTCAAAAGTATAGTGGCTAAGCCTAGGTGTTCTGTGGCTAGGCGGCGAGGCCAAAAGATTTTACATTACGGCCTCTAGAGGGCGCAGCCGCTCGCTGGCGTGTTATGGGCGTGCTTTGTTCGCGCGCGTCAACTAACGCCCTAAACACGATTACAGTATGCTGACGTACCCCCTCACTTTAACGATAGCACTTCGTTAAGGGGCCCCGTCACCATAGTCGCTGCCGTCCCCTAAACCCACGTCCTTTATGTGGGCTTGTGCTCAAAGAAAAATGAACGAAAAAGAGTCTTCTAGAACGGGCACTTATCTCGACGCTTGTAAATGTTTTCCTCATCATCAAGTGTTTACCTCCCAATTTTGTATTTACCTCTCGGTAGTTTTTGCCATCGCTGCTGTTCTAATCAATTTACTCCAACCGTCTGATCTGCTCTTGTGGGAGTGGTCTAATCCGACTAAATATTCTATGATAGAGTTTTATATCATATTCATACGGTCTGAGCTAGTAGCTCGTGATCACCTCCTCATAATATGCTCATAATTGTACACTTTGTTGAAGTGATTCTTTTAAGCCCCGTTGCTTTTATTGTAATATTATTCCTCTCTTGCGTCCTCTGTGGTGATCACTGTCCCGTGTCTTTTCTCATGAGATGCTGTTTCCGGTGCACGCACCAATGAGAACCGCGCAACATCGTTATGTTTTTGCTTTAACTTAGCACCAATCAGAACCGGGGAACCCTTCGGCGGGCGAACAGAACGCGCGCAAATTCGATGGCTGAGCGCCGCCATTACGGCGATTGTTTCAGCTTCTGTGCCGAAACGGCTGAAATGTGGCCCAAGTAATTAGCGACTGCCGCCTATACCGAATGTACAGTAGCTCGCTTCACGTGCAACTGGTGATCTCTATTGGACTGGTGGGGCCCGCTCGTTTTTGTGCCGGACGTTACTTAGCAGCGCAGTGACGAGGGTCGTGAAGATGGACACCTGAAACGAGTGCGGAGCCATGTACCGGCGACATTTGACTCAAAGGTGAGCTCATTCCGTCGGTACTCGTGACTCCGCGCGCAAATCATTGCTCGTTTTAAGTGTTGCCCGAGATAAAGATCTGTTCCGGCAGTGATCGAAGTTTGCTGCGCGCGCCAACTGCTGCCGCTCGCAAGGATCGCGCTTCCGCCGATGATATCCGTAATCTGGTTTTTTGTTGGGGCGCTGATAGCATGCGCGCACTGATTATGATCTCGTTTGCTGCTGTAACCTGCTTCGAAAGTTTACTGGCGTGAACCGGATTGGTGCTCGCGATTCAGTGCGATCGGGCCTTAGCTTATTTCGCTCGTTTCGCATCAGCGGCGGGCAGCCGCTTTCAAGCTGTGCGGCAGTCGCTTTCTTCTCTTGGTTGAACCTCAACGACAGGTGTGACAACGTTTTGTCTGGCATAAACGACCTGGTGTAATGTGGTTTCGCAAGTCGCCGAGTACGGTCCCAGTGCTTTAAGAATAGTCCCTCCTCACTTGGCACGTATGGATCTTCTGTAAGTTCGTAGCACTAAAATTGAAACTGCCGTGCTTAAGCACTTTTCTTTTTTTAAAACCAGCCTCAGCAGCTACGGCTCCGCACAGACGGATGGAATCGCACTTGTCAGCGTCGGTGGACGCTGTTTTCAGTGACCTCGAGTTAGTTGCAGTGTTCTGTTGGTGCTTCAGTTAGACCTAGGCATCAGTATCACTGTGTTAGTATTCATTAGACAGGGCGTGTAAACATGGACTCAAAGAAAACGCCCCGTCTTCTAGAATGAATTCTTACCAACTAATGACTGTTCGGTATCCTTGTGGCGTCAGTTCTTGCATATTTCTGAGGAAAAGCGGCAGCCACTCGATCTAGAAAAGTGCGATTCCATCCGATCTTTTTATTTCACTGCACGAATTGAAACAGGAGTTACACTATCGATTCGGAGATGACACTTTTTGTGGTAGTGCATTTTTTGTTGCAGCACATACTTGGGTTAGAGTGTACTAGAACAAGGGAAGTGCCCGGAACGGCCGCAGCACCAATGCATTAAAAGTGAAGCCCTGATAGGGTCAATTCGCTTGTGCGCTGTGATCGGTAGTCTGCAATGTGTCGTCGTTTTAAGAGCCGCGCGTAGCTCCACCAAAGTGGTCGAGGGGTAGAATGCTTGCTTCACACTAAAAGACCCAGGTTCGAATCGCAGGTGTGGACGATGGATTTTCTTTTTTCTTAATTTTACTTGCACAGGTGTATTGGTTTTTTTTTTTTAATCTGGCTACAGTTGCTACATATTGCTACAAAAAATCACGCGGAGTATGACGGTGTGCTTTCATCGCAGGCGAGTGAAAGCACACTGTCTCTCTTATTCACCAAAGTCACAAAAGCCATGCTTTAAAGTTTTCGTTAAATCCCATGCGGTGGCACTGCAAATAATTGCGCTGTCATGTTTTATCTTTACTTCATATTTCGCATGATTCTTTGTAGCAATATGTGGCAACTGAAGCCAGATTTAAAAAAAAGACAACCAATACAGCTGTGCAAGTAAAATTGAGAAAAAAGAAAATTCATTGTCCACAACTGCGATTCGAACCTGAGTCTTTTGAGTGGGAAGCGAGCATTCTACCCCTCGACCACTTCGGTGGAGCTGCGCACACCTCTTAAAACGGCGACACATTGCAGACGACCAACCGCAGCGCCACAAGCGCAGTGACCCTGTTCGGGCTTCAATTTTCGGAGCTCGATCCAGCCACTCCCCTTATTCTAGTACACTCTACTTGGGTCAAGCCCTTGCACCCTTCAGTATCAATATAGGCTAATGCACGACAATAATCTCGTCCATCGTGCTGCAGACTTCGAGAAACGTCGTAGTTTCAGCACGCACGATTTGCCAGGCTTTGAGGTTTACGTAACCAAAAAATACAAGGCACGTCAGAAGTTTGTAATTTCAAGATATAAGACGGCCACATGGAGCTGCCGAGACAACATGCCCCTTGCAGCTTGTTTTTTTATATTTCTGCCCCTAGGCATAATATTTTCAGATTAAAAAATACACATACACGTTTTCTTCATGTATAAAGTCTAGTAGAGAACAATGGTGTGGTCCACGAAGCCAGCGGTCAAAGTCGGGCGGTCGGCCAGGCCCGAGACCTGTTGCACGGAAGTGATGGCGACGGCCTAATTGTAGACCAGGGCAAGTCCACAGTAAGTGTGAGGCAGTTACATCTTCGATTGAAGCATCACAAAATGGGCATGATGTGCCATACGAGCCTCGATACTTCTGCGTCTGAAGGGTGGTCACGGATAGGGTAAGCGCAACCCGATCACGAAACCTCAGCAACGTAACCTCCTCTCAGTGGGTTAAACCACCAGGGAGGTCTGATCCACACGGAGGAGTAAGAGCTCATGTGGCACCTCAGAGGCTTTCTTTTTCCCGGAGGATCTGTCCTTGAGCGTCCTCAGGAAAATGTGGTAGTGGATACGGTGTAACTGCTGTTCTCTGGCATTTCAAGTACTATTGTGGGTAGTTTCTTTTTTGTGTTGGTTTGATACACGTAGAATGCCAAGAATTTGAGAGTAGTTCATGATGGACACAGCTTCAGGATCACAAACCTGAAGGCATGGAAGTCAGCACTGGAGCACTAGAAGCTGCAACATTGCTAGGTGGCCAAAGAAGCCAGGCATGGATCTTCAAAAAGCACAGGGAGTGCTGCCAACACAGATGCATGTTGTACAATCTGCTTTGTTGTTTCAGGACGGCTTTCCACCACAAAATATTCATTTTACTAAATGCTAGTGTTGAAAAACAAACAAACATGCAAATGAGGATTAGGTAGCACGAAAATCGCGCTGTGCATTATACAGCTTAAAAACTAAATAGTTGTCTTGGCTTTGCGTGTTCCACCACTAGTCTCACACATACTGAAACATTACTGCAGTTGGTCTCGGACACTCGATCTTAACAGCACCTAATATGTGTATGATGGCTGTGAGATGTTTACATTCTCGTCCTACACCAACAGCATTGGTGTAAATATGAAAACGAACATTGTTGGCTAGCACACTCAATAATTTGTCATCACTTGCACTTACTGTTCAAAATACTATAATGACAAGCAAAACCTTTTCACAATAAAGACAAGCAAAACCTTGTTCTTGCTTAGGAGAGTTCAGACTTTGCTTAGGAAAAGAGATGCTAAGTCTGAAAACTACCGATGATTATGCTAGGGCGATGTGTTTGCTCACGACAGCCACTTGGCTGAATGCTACCCAAGTTATGCGGACACTTAAATGTGGTATGAAAGCAGCCACATAACATGTACACTAGAAGACTTGCAGACTCTGCACCTGTAACATGATGTCCTACAAAGTCTGTGAGCAGCACTTAATGAAAAAAAAAAAAAAAGACAGTGCACAGACGGATGGGACGGAAATATGTAAGGCAACCTAAATGCTGACTCTGAACTGGTGATATATTAGAATATACAAACACAGTCATGGCAAACTTGTACAGAGGAGATGGTGAAGGAACACAATGACATTAATAAGAAAAGTTGATGTTGACAAAACTACAAGCGCGACAAAATAGCAAATCGGACAACACATTTTTTTTAATGTGTGCTTCGAATTATATTTAAAGAATCGTATGACTAAATCATGATTCACTTTGAACTTGAAATGTACTATTTGCACTATCAGTATGCTATTTTGGGCCAGTTGGTGCATTGTTACATGAAAGATGTGGCTTAAAATCGGGAATGAAGAAGAGACGGGAAGAGTGCCACATTCTTTTTCGTTCTTCTCCATTTCAAGTTCGCACCACGTCTTTTATGAGATAACGGTGCACCAATTGGCACACTATAGCGTACTGAATAGTAGGCTTGTGTGAATATTAAATTTCAGGTTCAGAGCGAATTGTCGTTTTGTCGAATGATCTTCAATATGATTCGAATCACACTTAAAGAAAATCTGTTGTCTTGCTCTTTTTTTGTGCCTACACAGTTTCTCAACGTGAACTTTTCTTATTTGCGTCGTTGTATTCCCTCACGAGCTCCTCTGTACATGTTTGTTGTGACAGTTTCTGTATACTCTAATAAATCACCACTTGAGAGTCGGCACTTGTATTGTCTTGCATATTTTCGTCCTGCCTGTTCGTGCAGTGTTTTTCTTTTTTCCCATAAAGTGCTGTTCACAACCTTTGTAGCACATCAGATGCCGAAATGCTCTGTTCGAGTGCATGTGTGTGTCTGTGCGTGTGTGCGCGCGCGCACGTCTGTGCGTGTGTGTGTGTGTAAAATTGAAAATAGGCATTCGCAAATGGGTGGGGGGTCATTCTTTTAGTGACAACTGCAGCTATTTTTTTATATATGTGATTCGAAATAGATGCAAAATTAATCGACCAAATCACGATTCGCTTTGAACCTGAAAAAAATATATATATATAACTTTCTATAGTTAAAGCTGAAACAACAGCACCAGGGAATCCCCTATATGGCTGGCAAATGCACAGATACAACCGACTGCAGTGTTGATAAGAAAGTGAAACTGCTGTGAACGTGTTATTCCCACTTTCCTCCTTATGATGGTAATAGTTCAAGAGTTTCTTTGATATTTTGGGAGCAAATCTTTCTCCAGCACCTAAAATATGTAGATAAAGCTTACGAAACGTCACGGTGTGTCATTTAGATCGAGGCTCTGTACGATGCAGGTCACATTGTTGAATGTGTAGTCAAGACTGTTAGCGGAGACCGTATCACCGTGTCCTGCAAACAAGTGCACTTGCGACACAACATCTAAGTCGTGACCGACTGTAGTGGAGTGGCCAATGCTTGCTGTTTATTCAGTTTATACAGGAGGACGCAATGTGTGATCTAACATGGAACACAGTGTGGCAATAGCAAGCTGATTTCTGCTCATGTACATCACATTACAAAAAACTCAAGGAGCTTTGATTTAAAGAAAAAACGGACACCTCAAGATTTTAAGTGTCTGGCACTTTTGGACACTAAAGGGCTATGAGCTTTTTCGCC